GTATGAGAGAGATATATAGCTTCAAGAACTCTTACCAAGTGGATAATTCGTTCACTGCTTTTTTCAACTCTTGATCTTAAGAAACCCAGAGACATATGCTCCTCAAGCTTCAGATGATTAAAAACGAGCAAGAGAGTGAAGAATAATTAAGGAGAACTTGGAACCCGATGGGAAATTTCTTCAATTGAGAATTTGGTTTCAGATCCCCTTTCTCCCTCTCTCTCTCTAATGCGTGTGTTGGAATGAGAGTGAAGACAATGATATATAGAGTGATATAGAGTGGAGAGTAAGTTTGTTTAAGGGTAAAAGGGAGAAATCAAAAAAATGCCAAGTGAGGTGAGTGATTAGTGTAGTTATGTTTTTATGTTGTGCTAAGGTATTGTTATTGTCGTTTTGAGAGAGAAATAGAGAGTGAGATAAGGATGAGAGTGTGAGCTGTACTAAGCACATGTGGAGAGGGTATTTGAGAGAATTTGCAAAACTTGCCAACTTTCACAAATTTTCCATTTCCTATGCATGCATGACATGACCATTTTTTGGCCAAATAAGGTAATGGAATGGAATGAGGGGCGCGTAAGCATGATGTATGCAGAAGTCTTGTAGCAAATTTTGAGTATTTTGCACAAAATTGTCAATTGGCCAAACTCTGGCTGCAAACATGGCACCCTGAGCCTAACCCAACCATTTCTCGATATCTCTCTCATCTCTTGATCATTTTTAACAATCTTGGATTCTATGGAAATCTTAGGATAAGAGGCACAATATTCATGTTGAAAGATTTTTTAAAACATGCTTTAGAAGTACCTCAAAATTGAGCCCAAAAATTGGTACATGGTGTTGATCAAAGTGTGTCAAAAATCTGACTAAGTGTTGGAAAACATTTCAGTTTTGAATCATCCACTTCTGAGCATGATACCTTGAGATTTTGTGGACTAAATGAGATGATTCTTAGAGCATTGGAAAGCTGGCCATGAGTAGAACAAGATTCATGTTGAAATTGTCTTGATTTAAAGCCTTGGACATGGAGATAATTGGCCACGAAATCATGTGCATGAAGCTGAACAAGAAACTTAGTGAAATTTCACTAAGTGTTGAAATTTTCAAGTTTGAAAGGCCCGTCTTTTTTTATGGCATTGAAAGGCCCATCTTTAAAACATTATAACTTGTAAAATAATGATCCAATGATGATGTTCTTGATATGGTTGGAAAGATATGAGGAAGGGGGACAACTCTTGTATTGAAAAAAAAAATTGAATTGAAGCTTTAATACTCATGAAAAATGGCCTTGAAGTTGACTTATCAACACCTTTAAACTTTCCAAAAATAGTAACTTTTCATATGAACCCTAATTCCCAATTTGGCAATTTTGAGCATCTCCTTATTTTTGATGAATATTTTGGTATTTCTTGATCAAATCTATCCAATTTACCACCTTTGACTTGTAGAACATGATATTGACATAAAAAAAATCAATAGTTGACTTTAGCTTGCAGATTTGACTTTTCCCTAATTCAATTAATTTGCAATCATCTGAGCAATTAAACTTCTCCTGGATAAAATTGAGGGCCAATCTTCCATATATATATATATATGCTTAGGAACATGTAGAATACCATGGAACCAAGTTTTACTCAAAAAGTCAGTGATAGACTGACTTTGACCAAAACCCTAGTTTTCAATCAAAATGATATGAGATGAGTGCACAACCTCAAAACCTTAATTCCTCTTGGAAACTTAGGTAATCTCTTAAGAAAAAAAGTCTTGGATGATGATAAGATGATAATGCTTCAAAGATATTGTCCATGAATGTGTCACACACTCAAGTAATCACAAAATTACCACGGGGACCAAAAGGATAGGAGAAGTTGATTCTTTCCAATGCTCTAGTGAATTTCAATCATCTGATGAAATGGTGAGCTAAATGAGATATCTTGGGGCATGAGGAACCCTTGTAGCTTGAGTGACCAAAATAATGAGTATATTAGAACCTCCTTGCACTGACTGATAATTCAATCATCTTCTATTGCTTGAAGAAGACCATAAAGAAAAGAACACTTTAATCTCATCTCAAATGCAACCTCACTAATGAAGGGTTCCATTTGAACACTTAGGCCAACCTACAAGCTTTTAATATGTTATTCAATGATTAGTCCATATTTAGAGTTTAGGAATGTGTCAGATCAACTCACAAAATTAGGAGTCGAGTCAAAAGTGTTATGAATTATGTTTTCTTGGAATGTAATTGAAAATAAACAAGATGGACAATAATCTCAAGAAGGTTCAAGTGGAGTTTTTAAGAATCATGGAGATAACTTTATGAGAGTCAAATCTCATATTTAAAGGAAATTTCAAACCCATAAAGCTCATGATACTTAGATGGAAATTAACATAAACTTTTAAATGAATCTAGAAATACAACAAGATTAATAGCTTTTTGAAAAAATTTAGACGGGCGAATTGATGGAGCTATTTTATTTTTCTAGAACTATTATTGTGCTGTCGAATTGGTTTTGTAAATTATCATTTAAATTTCACAAATTTGAGAAAAGTGTTAAGCTTAATAAATTTTTTATTTATAATTATTTCCCAACAAATTAAAACAAGTACAAAATAGTTCGAAACTTTTCAAAAAATAGTTAATGAATCAAGTCTCCAACTATTTTTAAGAAAAGCACACAATCTATCTAAAACACTTACATATAATAAGACAATTTCTCATTGCACCCTTATACATTCTCCTAGGCCCTGTGCGAAATTTCTAAAATGCCCCATATTTTTGGAAATATATCTCTGGTCGCACCAATTCTCCATTTTAACCATAGGCTAATTCAGATATGTATCTTCGAAGGGTATTGTAGGGTATGTTTAGACATACATCTCCGAATTAACCTTTTTTTGAATCAACTCAGAGATGCATCTCCAAACTAGGTGAAAGTATTTAAAGCTCGCGCCATACTCTCCTTTTTCATTTTTCAGAAATCAAAACTTTCTTTTTACCTCTATCTACCCATTTCAGTTCCCACTCAAGATCAAGTTTTGAAGCAACATTTACTTGTATCTTGTCATTCCCAACTTCCTCTAACTACTGCATTTAACATCAGATCACTTTACACCCTCGTCAACAATTTTTGTGTAAGTTTTTCATTTAACTTATTTGAGTTTTGATTAATGTATTATCTCAAATATGTTAGTTTTAATGCGTTAGATAGCATTAACATTTGAAATAAATTATGTCTAGACTCTGTTTATATGATTTGGGTGAATTTTGATGATACTTCGATTGCTAGGGCAGTTGAAAAAATGTTTCTGTCATGGAAGCTGGACGAAGCTTTTTTTCGGAGATGTATCTCTAGAGTGTGTTGTTTCAGGTGTTTGGAGATAGATCTCCGAACTCTTTTCTTCCTCGTACATTAATATCGATTGTTATGTTTTTTTCAAAGATAATGGCTGAAAACAACTAAAGGATGAGACTCGACCGCCCCATCCTAACTGCGTCTGCATGTCGCGAGATGGCTCGTTAGCATGAGCAGGATAGAGCCATCCTTATGCCTCATGTTGAGGATGCCCCAGTTGCATAACAGGTCCTAGTTGCTATAACGGGGGTTGGGATCCCATAATCGTGTGCAGCAATGATGAAGATGCCCTAGTTGCATAATAGGTCCCGGTTACTGAGGAGGCTCCACTTGCAGACCTTTTCCCAGGAGGGCCCACAGACCCTTCATTATTGATATACTTTGGAGATCACATAGTTTTGCGTATCTGGGACAAAGAGGTATATTTTTAACAGTTCAATTTTCATATTTTAACCAAATTCAACTCGATTGATGAGACTGTTATATTTCATTTTCAACAGAAACGCGAGTATTTGAAATCGCGAAGCATGCAAGAAAAATTCACAATCTTTATCAGTCACATGATGAATGGTTTCAAAGTGAACTCCGGAACTATGGTCTTGCAAGTCTTTGTGCTTTCGGATACAACACCATCAGCCATGGCATACAGGCTGCATTTGTTGAGAGATGACATAGCAAAATGTCATCTTTCCACCTCTCCATTGGCGAGATGACTATTACATTAGATGATATAGCTTGCTAATCGATTTCAAATTATGTTGGATTGAAAAAACTACAATATGGTTACACTTTTCTGCAAAAACACATGCAGGCTAGAATTCAGATACGTGTCTCCGAATAAATTCAAGGATAAACTCGCAGATACATCTCTGGACTATTTTCTCAAAAAATGTGATGGATAAAGATGGCTTCAGAGATATATCTGCGAATTAACCTTAGATTTATTCGAAAATGTATCTCTAAACTAAATTTAAATAAAAAATGATATTTAATACGTTCAGAGATAAATCTCATAATTCATCCAAAAATATTTTAGAATTTCTGAACGGACGCCAAAGAGTACAATGAGAAATTGCTTATAATAAAACCAATATAATAGTTGCAAGATAATTGGACCAAGTAAGACTATGTTGGTTTACTTTGGTTATTGATTTTAGAAGAGATGGATGGTGGAGATTTTGGCAGATTGAAACAAGTTTTAGTGTAAAAGCTGTTCTCCAATTTGTTTGTAACAACACACGTCATTTTCCGTTGAAACCTCATTGTCTCATTTTAACACCGTCAGTTCACAGTCATACAGAATCATCATCACCCTATCTATATATAACCATTTACCAACGAATCACGTTTTTCAATTATATAATTAATACACTAATAAATAACTCTCCTAAACTCAAGGATTATCATTCATAATCTTCATTACATTTCACACCTACCTACACTAATCAATAAGAGATTAACAATTTTCCATAAACCAATTCCAGATCTTCTCAGATCGGAACTCTTCTTCAACCGGTTCGTTTCTTCAATCTCTGCAATGTGCTTAGATCTCTCTATGTTCTTTCCAATTTCCATTTTCACATGTTCAATTAATGTTTGCATTGCATGCACATTGAAATGGAAAGGGTGGTTTGTTTATAAATTTTTTTAAATTTGAGTGTAATTAACAGAGATTATGCTAGAATATAGAGTTTTTGTTTTTTCAATGTAGGGTAGTTTTTTGCTGGTCCTGGATTTTTTTTTGTAGTGTCCTAATCTAATCCCTTTGGGTATGGTGTGGGACAAAAGACCAATTATAAGCCTTTTTTTGGTGTCACTTTTGATGCTTTTAGGGTCTTCTGTATTTGTTAATGATTCTAAACTTAATTTGGAAGGAATAACCATTGTTTACCTTATTCTATTGGAATTCTTATCTATTTGATTGTGATGTGTCTGAGTTTTGACATTTTAGTGAATCATGTTATAGGCATGTGTATGCATGTGTGTCAATAGAGAGGGTAGTTTGGTTATTCAATTCTCTATATAAATTACCAAGATTGTATTAAAAAATACAATCAATCAATCAACCTTCCATGTAAGATTGAATGGTCAATACTCGAGCTTTGTGGTATGTATTGAGATACGGTATGGTATGCATACGTTTGCTATGACATACGGTTATGTATATCATATTTTAGGTTTGTAGAAGAATATGTTCATGTAGTTGAAGAATGTTTTTATGTTGATGTTTTTAATGTATTCTTGTACCAACCAAGAGAATTCTTGTATATTAATCATTTCAATGTAATCTTGCTCCTAGAAAATATTTAAAATTCTTCTTTGCAAGACGAAGTCTTTTATTTCTTCATCAATGGAAATTGCTTACTCTAAGTGTTTTATTTCCTGCCCTGTAATCTATACCATGCAGTGTAATGGGAAGAGAAGTTACTGGTATAAACGTGATGGAGAAGAAGCCAAATGGTATAGCTTCAAGTGGTAGCTTTAGCGATAGAGTGCGTGTTTCTCCTAAAATTGCAGCAATGGTTGAAGCAATGGATCATGAGATAAAGGAATCTGCTGAAGGCAATTCTGCCAAAAGCACTAAATTAAATGCTAATTTGCCTGAAGAGCGGAATGATAAACCTGAAGTACAGAAGACGAGTGATGACGAAAAAGAATTAAGCTCGCCTACTGCAATAACAATTCCAGTGGATAAAGAGCATACAAGCCCCCCTGCTCCACAGCAGTCTGATCAGGCTACTGAAAAGCATGTCACTCATACACAGACTGTTGATACTGAAGCTGATTCAAATGGTCAGAATTTGTCCCCAGATGCTAAGAATACACACTCACCAAATTCCTCAAAGAACTCACAGGTATTGTGTCATTACCTTTTGAATGTTTAAGCGATAACTTAAATTTGCATGTGCTCTTCTGAGAACTAGGTTAAGTATGCAAAATGGTCCAAGCATATGTGCTGCCTAAACGTTCTTAAATTTAGTTTGAAAATATTGCTCATTTGGTAGAAATTTTGTGGTTGAAGTAAAACACTTAGCTTTCCTTCTTATATGTTGCTTTGTAATTGCATGTTTTGCAATTTGTGTTTGGAATGGTGTGAGTCTATTTTATGAGATTACTGAAATGAATATTCTTTCCAATTTTTCAGAGGAACTCACCTTTTACATCAAGGAAGCTTGCTCAACATGATAAGAAGCATCATGACGATGAAGACAATTGGTCTGTTGCTTCCTCGTATCCTCAAAAGTTTTGATTTGATGGTTTTAGTTTGAAACAGTAAATTTTAGGTATATCAGAAAAATCTTAGAATCCACCATAAATGGAACCAACTATCAAACAGTTATTTTATGAGCTTAATAATAATAATAAAATAAGGAACCCTCCAAATATCTACATTTTACTTATATTTAAATCTACGACAGTTATTCTGATTTATTCTTTAACCATAAATAGTAGTGTTGCATCTGGACGTACTGCCAGATTTAAGGTAACTGTAGGTACAGCCCCTACGTTCAGAAGCTCAGATCGTGCAGAGAAACGAAAGGAGGTACTGTGTTTATGAACCTTTAACAATGTATTCCGACGTTGATTATGTTTCTTACTCTATTATTATCATTAGATAAGCTAAATCTAATTATTGGTTTTTGCTATTGTCACTGATTTATCTATCCAGTTCTATATGAAGTTAGAGGAGAAAAATCGAGCCCTGGAAGAGGAAAGACTCCAGTATGAGGCAAGGCGAAAGGTACTGCGCTCTTTCTTAGGTTACTTTTTACATGTTTAACAGATTATATAACTATAGTTTGTGTAATTATAACCTGAATAGGAAGAGGAAGATGCAGCCATTAAGCAGTTGAGAAAGAACTTGGTCATTAAAGCAAAGCCAGTACCAAGCTTCTACTATGAGGCGCCTCCTCCAAAAACGGAAATCAAGAAGGTACTCAGTCTTTTACTTTTCCATATGTCTTTTCCAAGTCTCGGGAAGAACAAGAAATTAATTACCATTGAGAATTTCAGAATTTGCATGAATAGATTGAAGGAATACAATAGAATGTAATAAGAATATTAGAATGCTTGACAATGTCTGGAATGCAAATTTGTCAGTAGGATACACAGGCTGCAGTACTTATTGTTTTCATAGTCCAGTAATGTTTCTTGCTCACAAACTTGAATGTGCATTCATGAAACTCATTATTATTGCCTTGTGACGGTCATGGTAGTTTTAGTCATTTCCAAATGGAAGAGGCAGAACTATAAATTTATTTACAATAGGAAAACTAAAACTCTTGATTCCTTTTCTTTTATAGCAGCCTCCACTGACTCGCCCCAAGTCACCGAAACTATCTCGCCCCAAGTCACCAAGATTATCTCGGAGAAAGAGCTGTGGTGACGTTAACACTCGAGTACATCACAGCACATGTAGTACCTCTAAAAGTGGGTCTGGTACCCCCGTCACTCCTAAAAATAAGGACCTGGTCACTGGACATCTCAGCCATGGTGCTTGCAAAACCAAAGAAAGGACCAAACCGGACAAGGAAACCCAAACAGCTCCTCCTAATATCATGGAGCAGACAAATGTGGACATATCAGTCCAATAATAAGCTTTCTAAAGATTTTACTGACCTCCAGTTGAGAGGAAAATAGCCTTCAATTTTCCTGGTCACACCAAATGGGATGCTTACAGAACAGATGGCCTTATTTTCTTTTCATCTGGACTGACATTTTTAAGTGATTTGTTTTTAACTCGAAATGTATATGTTTTGTATGTTATATCGGCGCACATAATTTATTATATATAAATAGTTATTGATGTAAGTTATATGTACGAAATTTGAAATTCCCCAGATTCTGGAAATTAATTTGCTCAAGAAACTGAGATTTTTTTTAAGAGTTGAGTTCTCAATATATGTTTTTTCATGTACACTAGTCAATGAATAGTATCCTTAACCACATGTTTGAGGACCTAAGTACAATGTTAAACTGTTTTGTTTCGGTCAACTTCATGACTTCAGGGTTAGTGAAGTAGCATTTCATTTTTACTACATAAAGTTGGGTACATACAGAAAAGACATATCTAAATTATTATGAATGAATGTTTTAATAGAAATCACAAAAAAAAAAAAAAAAAACATACTCGTATATTGCACAACGTACACCTTTTAATTGATAATGATTGGGTGATAGAATCAATTTAGTATCTAACAGAGAAATGCTGAAATTAGAACAAAGAAAATGGTAGAAGTACTGACTGTATTAAGAAATAGACTAGAGTTCAAATGGGATATAGCAGATTCAGTACAAATAAATGCATAAGCAGTAAAAGCAAGAAGAAAAAACTAGTAGAGGCACTGAGAGGCCTTATCTCTCCTAGGAATCAGATCTGATTTAATTCTTGCGTACCTCACAAATGATTGAGACTCAATCATTTATGGAATTATTCCTATAGCCTATTACCACTCAGTTGCTGCCAGCTGTCCCCTCCCATGTGCTGCTGCTAACAGAATTTGTCCTATTCTCTCTCTTTCTCTTTCCTACGTTTCCTCACATATTGCTTCCCATATCTACCAATTCCCCTCCCTTCAAAAACTTCCTTGACCTCAAGGAAGAAAACTGGAAATTCCTCTTTTAACTTTTCAGCCAACTCCCACGAATTCTCGAATTCTGGAAGATCTTTCCATTTCACCAAAACCTCCCAATCTCCTTGATCATTTCTCCTGTAATCCTTTCCTTTCTCAGGCACATGTTCCAAATACCAATCCTCATTCATACAATCTGGCAAGGGTTGGATTTTGGCAGAGGCACTAATAACTTTTTTCAGCAAGGACACATGGAATACCGGGTGTACTCTAGCATCAGCAGGCAGCTTAAGCTTGTAAGCCACCTCTCCCACCCTTTTAATTACCTCATAGGGTCCATAAAATCTAGGACTAAGCTTCTGGTTCAGCCTTTTAGCTAAACTCTTCATTTTGTAAGGCTGGATTTTTAAGAAAACCTTATCTCCCACTTCATAGACCACCTCCCTCCTATGCTTGTTTGCTTGATTTCTCATCATATCTTGTGCTTTGAGTAACTGCTATTGCAGTTCCTTGATCATCAAGTTTCTCTCCATTGTCAATTTACTGATTTCATCAACTGCAGATCCAGGGGTGTCCCCTCTAATTAACACTGGAGGAGCCCTCCCATATAGTGCCTCAAATGGGGTGGTCTTTAGTGAGGCATGATAGTTGGTGTTATACCAATATTCTGCCCATGCTAACCACTTAGGCCATTGCCTAGGTTTGAGTCCTGTAACACACCTCAAATATGTCTCTAAGCACCTGTTGACTACCTCTGTTTAGCCATCAGATTAAGGATGGTAGGCACTGCTATATTTCAACTTAGTCCCAGCCAACTTAAATAGCTCTATCCAGAAATGGCTAAGAAAAACTTTGTCTCTGTCAGAAACTATGGAGCTTGGGAATCCATGCAATCTAACTACTTCTTGGAGGAAAACTTCAGCAACACTCTTGGCCGTATAAGGATGGCTAATTGGAAAGAAATGAGCATACTTAAAGAGTCTATCTACCACGACCATAACTGTGTCTACTCCATGTACCTTAGGTAAACCCCCTATAAAATCCATAGAAATATCACTCCATACTTGTGTGAGAATCGACAAGGGCTGTAGTAATCCTCCAGGTGTCAAGGTTCGATACTTATTCCGTTGACACACTTCACAGGCCTGCACATACTCTTGAATCCTCTTTCTCATATCCTCCCAATATACCACACTACTAATCCTTTTGTACGTCCTGAGATAACCAGAATGCCCTCCTACTGCTGTATCGTGGAATTCATTCAGAATCCAACTAATTCTAGGGGATCCCTTAGGCAGCACTATTCTTCCTTCATAATACAACCTTCCTCCCTTAAGTTGAAACCCCTTCTGACTAAGAGGATCTGCTAAAACAGCCAGCATTATTCCCTTCAGCTTCTCATCCTGTTGTACCTCCTCTTCTAATCCATTCCAAGCTTCACTTTGGACAAAAGTTATGTGAGAATATTGCATCTGTCTGGAGAGGGAATCTGCTGCACTATTTTCTTTTCCAGGTTTATACTTCCCCTCAAAATCATACCCTATCAGTTTAGATAGCCACTTCTGTTGTTCTTCCCCCATCACCCTCTGCTCTGTTATAAATTTTAAGCTTTTCTGGTCTGTATGCACCTTGAAATGTTTGCCTAATAGATAGGGTCTCCATTTCTGAATAGCTATGACCATAGCCATGAGCTCTCTTTCATAAACTGACTTTTGTTGGGCCTTAGCTGATAGAGTTTGGCTCATGTATGACACAGGTATGCCCTCCTGCATTAACACTGGTCCAATGCCTTTGCCCGAAGCGTCCGTCTCCACTACAAACTCTTTTTCAAAATTAGGCATAGTCAAAACGGGGAGAGTGGTCATTGCTATCTTTAGTTCATCAAAAGCCACTGGTGCTTCTGTACTTCAGAGGAAACTGTCTTTCTTCAGCTGCTGAGTAAGGGGCCACGCTATTTTTCCATAATTCCTCACAAACTTCCTATAGTAGCCAGTTAGACCTAAGAATCCTCATAGTCCTTTTATATTTTTTAGAACAGGCCACTTGATCATATCTTCTATCTTTCTGGGATCTGCTGCTACTCCTTGGGCAGATATTAAATGCCCCAGATACTCCACCTCTTCTTGACCAAAAGAACATTTCTTCTTGTTAGCAAATAGCTGTTTATCCTTCAACACTTGCAATATGACAGTTAAATGCTCTCTGTGTGCTTCTTTACTCCTACTATATATGAGGATATCATAAAAAAAAACCAAGGAAAATTTCCTTAGAAATGGCCTGAGAACTTCATTCATGAGGGCTTGGAAAGTAGATAGAGCATTTGTCAAGCCAAAAGGCATGACAAGATATTCATAGTGCCCCTCATGTGTTCTGAAAGCTGTCTTGGCTATGTCTTCATCCCTCATCCTAATCTGGTGATAACCAGATTTTAAATCCAGTTTGGAAAAGATGACCGCTCCTCCCAATTCATCTAATAACTCCTCAATGATGGGAATGGGAAATTTATTAGGTATAGTCACCTTGTTCAAAGCCCTATAATCTGTGCAGAATCTCCACCCTCCATCTTTTTTCTTTACTAACAGCACGGGGCTTGAAAAAGGACTGGTACTGTGCCTTATGATACCAGCCTGGAGCATTTCTCCTACAATTTTCTCTATTTCATTTTTTTGATAAAAAGGATACCTATAAGGCCTCAAGTTTGGAATGGCAGCATTAGGTTCAGCAAAATAGTATGGTCATGTTCTCTCCTGGGTGGCAGACCTTTGGGTAAATGAAACACTTCTTGAAAATTTCCCAAAGTCTCATCCCACTCTATTAACTCAGCACTCTTTTCTGCTTCAACAGTTTTCACAGTCTGCACATAGAATCCCATCCCCTCATCCTTCAAAGCTCTCCTCACCTCTTTCATAGAAATTTGTTGATTTCTTAATGTAGGATCTCCTTGAATACTATACTTATGTCCACCCCACTCCCACATCAAGCATAAATTTCCAAAGTTAGCCTCTATATTGCCCAAACTAGCTAACCAGTCCATACCTAGAACCATATCAGTCCCTCCTAACTCCATCAAGAAAAAATTCTGGCTGAATTCCACTCCTTGCAACCTGAAATTCAACTTTTCACACACCCCCTGAAATTTCACCTTCTCTCCATTCCCCACTTCAATTACATATGGTGGTGTTTCCACCAACTGTAATCCCAACATTTCCACTAGCCTAGCATCAATGAAATTGCTAGTTGCCCCAGAATTAATTAGTGTCAACAGTTCTCTTTCCTTAACTGTAGCCCAGACCTTGAATGATTTATTAGAAGTTAATCCTTCTTGACTCTGCAGGGAGAGTTGCAAAGTCCTGCATTCCTCCACTCCTCCCACCGAGTCTTCTGTTTGCACCCTTTTCCCTCTTGTTACCTCTTCCTCCTCACTGCTTTCCTCACATAATTTAAAACTCATATGCTTGAATTTTCATATGTGCTCCCTATTCCATTTATCCCCACATTTGAAACACAGCCATTTATTACTCCTTTCTTCTAATTCTGCAGGATATAATCTCCTCCCTCTGAACTTCTCATTACCTCCTCCATTAATTTTCTCTCCCTCCCTCCTAGATCCTCCTACCTCTGCCGGATCCCTGATCTTAAAAGACTCTTCTTTATCTCTCCATGAACTACCCTTCTTGTGGACCACCTCATTTTTTTCTTCAATCAACAGGGCCCTATCCATCAAATCTGCTAAACTTTGACTCTCATGGAGTTTTAGTTCAGCTTGAATCTCCTCTTTCAGTCCATTCATGAAAATGGAGTCCAACATAATCCTTTCTTCCCTTCTCAAAGGAGCTACAAGCATTTCGAATTTCTCCATATACTCCACCACCGATCCTTTTTGTCTTAAACTCAACAAAGGCCTCATCAGGTTATGCAGCAAACCCGGTTGAAACCTCCTCATGACAGCCACCCTGAACTCCTCCCATGTCCTCAGTGGGGCTTGCTCCTCCCACCACTGGTACCAATTCAAAGCCTTGTCC